GGGTTAGGGTTAGGGTTAGGGTTAGGGTTAGGGTTAGGGTTAGGGTTAGGGTTAGGGTTAGGGGTTAGGGTTAGGGTTAGGGTTAGGATATAGGGATATGTGCCACTTTTGACATGCCGGTTCATTGCCTTTCCCAATGATGAACCGGGCTGAGATTTGGTCTACCCCCCCATTTTCGGGTATGCTGAATCTAGAAATAGTAATGAACCAGCGATCGGACATTCCTATCAAAAGTTATGGCGAAGTGAAAATTTCCCATTGAAAATGAATGGGAGCGGGAAAATGGCCAAAGTCAGTGTTTGCAAGTGTTCTACTTGTCTGGAAATGTTGAAAATGCATTGTGAGCACGTTTCAGGCCATTTCCTGTCATTTGAGGGCGACTTTGCAAAAAGGGGTGTCCTACCGCTTTTGACCAGAGGTGGCGCTGCACATGTCCGACGGTTAGGGTTAGGGTGAGACTTTGGGCAAGGGGTTAGGGTTAGGGCTGGAGCTATGGTTAGGGTTAGTGGTGGAGCTAGGGTTGGAGCTAGGGTTAGGGTTAGGGTTGGAGCTAGGGTTAGGGTTAGGGTTAGGAAAATGTGAAGATTTTCCCAAAATCTGAAGATTTTCCTAAGTGCGGACCCAATTTTTCACCTTCCAGAATTGTGTTAGGAGCACGTTTCAGGCCACGGGGAGTCCATAGAACCTGATTGTGGGTGAAGTTTTCGGGGGTTGGAGCTTTGGGGCAGGATATAGGGATATGTGCCACTTTTGACATGCCGGTTCATTGCCTTTCCCAATGATGAACCGGGCTGAGATTTGGTCTACCCCCCCATTTTCGGGTATGCTGAATCTAGAAATAGTAATGAACCAGCGATCGGACATTCCTATCAAAAGTTATGGCGAAGTGAAAATTTCCCATTGAAGATGAATGGGAGCGGAAAAATGGCCAAAGTCAGTGTTTGCAAGTGTTCTACTTGTCTGGAAATGTTGAAAATGCATTGTGAGCACGTTTCAGGCCATTTCCTGTCATTTGAGGGCGACTTTGCAAAAAGGGGTGTCCTACCGCTTTTGACCAGAGGTGGCGCTGCACATGTCCGACGGTTAGGGTTAGGGTGAGACTTTGGGCAAGGGGTTAGGGTTAGGGCTGGAGCTATGGTTAGGGTTAGTTGTGGAGCTAGGGTTGGAGCTAGGGTTAGGGTTAGGGTTGGAGCTAGGGTTAGGGTTAGGGTTAGGAAAATGTGAAGATTTTCCCAAAATCTGAAGATTTTCCTAAGTGCGGACCCAATTTTTCACCTTCCAGAATTGTGTTAGGAGCACGTTTCAGGCCACGGGGAGTCCATAGAACCTGATTGTGGGTGAAGTTTTCGGGGGTTGGAGCTTTGGGGCAGGATATAGGGATATGTGCCACTTTTGACATGCCGGTTCATTGCCTTTCCCAATGATGAACCGGGCTGAGATTTGGTCTACCCCCCATTTTCGGGTATGCTGAATCTAGAAATAGTAATGAACCAGCGATCGGACATTCCTATCAAAAGTTATGGCGAAGTGAAAATTTCCCATTGAAGATGAATGGGAGCGGAAAAATGGCCAAAGTCAGTGTTTGCAAGTGTTCTACTTGTCTGGAAATGTTGAAAATGCATTGTGAGCACGTTTCAGGCCATTTCCTGTCATTTGAGGGCGACTTTGCAAAAAGGGGTGTCCTACCGCTTTTGACCAGAGGTGGCGCTGCACATGTCCGACGGTTAGGGTTAGGGTGAGACTTTGGGCAAGGGGTTAGGGTTAGGGCTGGAGCTATGGTTAGGGTTAGTTGTGGAGCTAGGGTTGGAGCTAGGGTTAGGGTTAGGGTTGGAGCTAGGGTTAGGGTTAGGGTTAGGAAAATGTGAAGATTTTCCCAAAATCTGAAGATTTTCCTAAGTGCGGACCCAATTTTTCACCTTCCAGAATTGTGTTAGGAGCACGTTTCAGGCCACGGGGAGTCCATAGAACCTGATTGTGGGTGAAGTTTTCGGGGGTTGGAGCTTTGGGGCAGGATATAGGGATATGTGCCACTTTTGACATGCCGGTTCATTGCCTTTCCCAATGATGAACCGGGCTGAGATTTGGTCTACCCCCCCATTTTCGGGTATGCTGAATCTAGAAATAGTAATGAACCAGCGATCGGACATTCCTATCAAAAGTTATGGCGAAGTGAAAATTTCCCATTGAAGATGAATGGGAGCGGAAAAATGGCCAAAGTCAGTGTTTGCAAGTGTTCTACTTGTCTGGAAATGTTGAAAATGCATTGTGAGCACGTTTCAGGCCATTTCCTGTCATTTGAGGGCGACTTTGCAAAAGGGGTGTCCTACCGCTTTTGACCAGAGGTGGCGCTGCACATGTCCGACGGTTAGGGTTAGGGTGAGACTTTGGGCAAGGGGTTAGGGTTAGGGCTGGAGCTATGGTTAGGGTTAGTTGTGGAGCTAGGGTTGGAGCTAGGGTTAGGGTTAGGGTTGGAGCTAGGGTTAGGGTTAGGGTTAGGAAAATGTGAAGATTTTCCCAAAATCTGAAGATTTTCCTAAGTGCGGACCCAATTTTTCACCTTCCAGAATTGTGTTAGGAGCACGTTTCAGGCCACGGGGAGTCCATAGAACCTGATTGTGGGTGAAGTTTTCGGGGGTTGGAGCTTTGGGGCAGGATATAGGGATATGTGCCACTTTTGACATGCCGGTTCATTGCCTTTCCCAATGATGAACCGGGCTGAGATTTGGTCTACCCCCCCATTTTCGGGTATGCTGAATCTAGAAATAGTAATGAACCAGCGATCGGACATTCCTATCAAAAGTTATGGCGAAGTGAAAATTTCCCATTGAAGATGAATGGGAGCGGAAAAATGGCCAAAGTCAGTGTTTGCAAGTGTTCTACTTGTCTGGAAATGTTGAAAATGCATTGTGAGCACGTTTCAGGCCATTTCCTGTCATTTGAGGGCGACTTTGCAAAAAGGGGTGTCCTACCGCTTTTGACCAGAGGTGGCGCTGCACATGTCCGACGGTTAGGGTTAGGGTGAGACTTTGGGCAAGGGGTTAGGGTTAGGGCTGGAGCTATGGTTAGGGTTAGTTGTGGAGCTAGGGTTGGAGCTAGGGTTAGGGTTAGGGTTGGAGCTAGGGTTAGGGTTAGGGTTAGGAAAATGTGAAGATTTTCCCAAAATCTGAAGATTTTCCTAAGTGCGGACCCAATTTTTCACCTTCCAGAATTGTGTTAGGAGCACGTTTCAGGCCACGGGGAGTCCATAGAACCTGATTGTGGGTGAAGTTTTCGGGGGTTGGAGCTTTGGGGCAGGATATAGGGATATGTGCCACTTTTGACATGCCGGTTCATTGCCTTTCCCAATGATGAACCGGGCTGAGATTTGGTCTACCCCCCCATTTTCGGGTATGCTGAATCTAGAAATAGTAATGAACCAGCGATCGGACATTCCTATCAAAAGTTATGGCGAAGTGAAAATTTCCCATTGAAGATGAATGGGAGCGGAAAAATGGCCAAAGTCAGTGTTTGCAAGTGTTCTACTTGTCTGGAAATGTTGAAAATGCATTGTGAGCACGTTTCAGGCCATTTCCTGTCATTTGAGGGCGACTTTGCAAAAAGGGGTGTCCTACCGCTTTTGACCAGAGGTGGCGCTGCACATGTCCGACGGTTAGGGTTAGGGTGAGACTTTGGGCAAGGGGTTAGGGTTAGGGCTGGAGCTATGGTTAGGGTTAGTTGTGGAGCTAGGGTTGGAGCTAGGGTTAGGGTTAGGGTTGGAGCTAGGGTTAGGGTTAGGGTTAGGAAAATGTGAAGATTTTCCCAAAATCTGAAGATTTTCCTAAGTGCGGACCCAATTTTTCACCTTCCAGAATTGTGTTAGGAGCACGTTTCAGGCCACGGGGAGTCCATAGAACCTGATTGTGGGTGAAGTTTTCGGGGGTTGGAGCTTTGGGGCAGGATATAGGGATATGTGCCACTTTTGACATGCCGGTTCATTGCCTTTCCCAATGATGAACCGGGCTGAGATTTGGTCTACCCCCCCATTTTCGGGTATGCTGAATCTAGAAATAGTAATGAACCAGCGATCGGACATTCCTATCAAAAGTTATGGCGAAGTGAAAATTTCCCATTGAAGATGAATGGGAGCGGAAAAATGGCCAAAGTCAGTGTTTGCAAGTGTTCTACTTGTCTGGAAATGTTGAAAATGCATTGTGAGCACGTTTCAGGCCATTTCCTGTCATTTGAGGGCGACTTTGCAAAAGGGGTGTCCTACCGCTTTTGACCAGAGGTGGCGCTGCACATGTCCGACGGTTAGGGTTAGGGTGAGACTTTGGGCAAGGGGTTAGGGTTAGGGCTGGAGCTATGGTTAGGGTTAGTTGTGGAGCTAGGGTTGGAGCTAGGGTTAGGGTTAGGGTTGGAGCTAGGGTTAGGGTTAGGGTTAGGAAAATGTGAAGATTTTCCCAAAATCTGAAGATTTTCCTAAGTGCGGACCCAATTTTTCACCTTCCAGAATTGTGTTAGGAGCACGTTTCAGGCCACGGGGAGTCCATAGAACCTGATTGTGGGTGAAGTTTTCGGGGGTTGGAGCTTTGGGGCAGGATATAGGGATATGTGCCACTTTTGACATGCCGGTTCATTGCCTTTCCCAATGATGAACCGGGCTGAGATTTGGTCTACCCCCCCATTTTCGGGTATGCTGAATCTAGAAATAGTAATGAACCAGCGATCGGACATTCCTATCAAAAGTTATGGCGAAGTGAAAATTTCCCATTGAAGATGAATGGGAGCGGAAAAATGGCCAAAGTCAGTGTTTGCAAGTGTTCTACTTGTCTGGAAATGTTGAAAATGCATTGTGAGCACGTTTCAGGCCATTTCCTGTCATTTGAGGGCGACTTTGCAAAAAGGGGTGTCCTACCGCTTTTGACCAGAGGTGGCGCTGCACATGTCCGACGGTTAGGGTTAGGGTGAGACTTTGGGCAAGGGGTTAGGGTTAGGGCTGGAGCTATGGTTAGGGTTAGTTGTGGAGCTAGGGTTGGAGCTAGGGTTAGGGTTAGGGTTGGAGCTAGGGTTAGGGTTAGGGTTAGGAAAATGTGAAGATTTTCCCAAAATCTGAAGATTTTCCTAAGTGCGGACCCAATTTTTCACCTTCCAGAATTGTGTTAGGAGCACGTTTCAGGCCACGGGGAGTCCATAGAACCTGATTGTGGGTGAAGTTTTCGGGGGTTGGAGCTTTGGGGCAGGATATAGGGATATGTGCCACTTTTGACATGCCGGTTCATTGCCTTTCCCAATGATGAACCGGGCTGAGATTTGGTCTACCCCCCATTTTCGGGTATGCTGAATCTAGAAATAGTAATGAACCAGCGATCGGACATTCCTATCAAAAGTTATGGCGAAGTGAAAATTTCCCATTGAAGATGAATGGGAGCGGAAAAATGGCCAAAGTCAGTGTTTGCAAGTGTTCTACTTGTCTGGAAATGTTGAAAATGCATTGTGAGCACGTTTCAGGCCATTTCCTGTCATTTGAGGGCGACTTTGCAAAAAGGGGTGTCCTACCGCTTTTGACCAGAGGTGGCGCTGCACATGTCCGACGGTTAGGGTTAGGGTGAGACTTTGGGCAAGGGGTTAGGGTTAGGGCTGGAGCTATGGTTAGGGTTAGTTGTGGAGCTAGGGTTGGAGCTAGGGTTAGGGTTAGGGTTGGAGCTAGGGTTAGGGTTAGGGTTAGGAAAATGTGAAGATTTTCCCAAAATCTGAAGATTTTCCTAAGTGCGGACCCAATTTTTCACCTTCCAGAATTGTGTTAGGAGCACGTTTCAGGCCACGGGGAGTCCATAGAACCTGATTGTGGGTGAAGTTTTCGGGGGTTGGAGCTTTGGGGCAGGATATAGGGATATGTGCCACTTTTGACATGCCGGTTCATTGCCTTTCCCAATGATGAACCGGGCTGAGATTTGGTCTACCCCCCCATTTTCGGGTATGCTGAATCTAGAAATAGTAATGAACCAGCGATCGGACATTCCTATCAAAAGTTATGGCGAAGTGAAAATTTCCCATTGAAGATGAATGGGAGCGGAAAAATGGCCAAAGTCAGTGTTTGCAAGTGTTCTACTTGTCTGGAAATGTTGAAAATGCATTGTGAGCACGTTTCAGGCCATTTCCTGTCATTTGAGGGCGACTTTGCAAAAGGGGTGTCCTACCGCTTTTGACCAGAGGTGGCGCTGCACATGTCCGACGGTTAGGGTTAGGGTGAGACTTTGGGCAAGGGGTTAGGGTTAGGGCTGGAGCTATGGTTAGGGTTAGTTGTGGAGCTAGGGTTGGAGCTAGGGTTAGGGTTAGGGTTGGAGCTAGGGTTAGGGTTAGGGTTAGGAAAATGTGAAGATTTTCCCAAAATCTGAAGATTTTCCTAAGTGCGGACCCAATTTTTCACCTTCCAGAATTGTGTTAGGAGCACGTTTCAGGCCACGGGGAGTCCATAGAACCTGATTGTGGGTGAAGTTTTCGGGGGTTGGAGCTTTGGGGCAGGATATAGGGATATGTGCCACTTTTGACATGCCGGTTCATTGCCTTTCCCAATGATGAACCGGGCTGAGATTTGGTCTACCCCCCATTTTCGGGTATGCTGAATCTAGAAATAGTAATGAACCAGCGATCGGACATTCCTATCAAAAGTTATGGCGAAGTGAAAATTTCCCATTGAAGATGAATGGGAGCGGAAAAATGGCCAAAGTCAGTGTTTGCAAGTGTTCTACTTGTCTGGAAATGTTGAAAATGCATTGTGAGCACGTTTCAGGCCATTTCCTGTCATTTGAGGGCGACTTTGCAAAAAGGGGTGTCCTACCGCTTTTGACCAGAGGTGGCGCTGCACATGTCCGACGGTTAGGGTTAGGGTGAGACTTTGGGCAAGGGGTTAGGGTTAGGGCTGGAGCTATGGTTAGGGTTAGTTGTGGAGCTAGGGTTGGAGCTAGGGTTAGGGTTAGGGTTGGAGCTAGGGTTAGGGTTAGGGTTAGGAAAATGTGAAGATTTTCCCAAAATCTGAAGATTTTCCTAAGTGCGGACCCAATTTTTCACCTTCCAGAATTGTGTTAGGAGCACGTTTCAGGCCACGGGGAGTCCATAGAACCTGATTGTGGGTGAAGTTTTCGGGGGTTGGAGCTTTGGGGCAGGATATAGGGATATGTGCCACTTTTGACATGCCGGTTCATTGCCTTTCCCAATGATGAACCGGGCTGAGATTTGGTCTACCCCCCATTTTCGGGTATGCTGAATCTAGAAATAGTAATGAACCAGCGATCGGACATTCCTATCAAAAGTTATGGCGAAGTGAAAATTTCCCATTGAAGATGAATGGGAGCGGAAAAATGGCCAAAGTCAGTGTTTGCAAGTGTTCTACTTGTCTGGAAATGTTGAAAATGCATTGTGAGCACGTTTCAGGCCATTTCCTGTCATTTGAGGGCGACTTTGCAAAAAGGGGTGTCCTACCGCTTTTGACCAGAGGTGGCGCTGCACATGTCCGACGGTTAGGGTTAGGGTGAGACTTTGGGCAAGGGGTTAGGGTTAGGGCTGGAGCTATGGTTAGGGTTAGTTGTGGAGCTAGGGTTGGAGCTAGGGTTAGGGTTAGGGTTGGAGCTAGGGTTAGGGTTAGGGTTAGGAAAATGTGAAGATTTTCCCAAAATCTGAAGATTTTCCTAAGTGCGGACCCAATTTTTCACCTTCCAGAATTGTGTTAGGAGCACGTTTCAGGCCACGGGGAGTCCATAGAACCTGATTGTGGGTGAAGTTTTCGGGGGTTGGAGCTTTGGGGCAGGATATAGGGATATGTGCCACTTTTGACATGCCGGTTCATTGCCTTTCCCAATGATGAACCGGGCTGAGATTTGGTCTACCCCCCATTTTCGGGTATGCTGAATCTAGAAATAGTAATGAACCAGCGATCGGACATTCCTATCAAAAGTTATGGCGAAGTGAAAATTTCCCATTGAAGATGAATGGGAGCGGAAAAATGGCCAAAGTCAGTGTTTGCAAGTGTTCTACTTGTCTGGAAATGTTGAAAATGCATTGTGAGCACGTTTCAGGCCATTTCCTGTCATTTGAGGGCGACTTTGCAAAAGGGGTGTCCTACCGCTTTTGACCAGAGGTGGCGCTGCACATGTCCGACGGTTAGGGTTAGGGTGAGACTTTGGGCAAGGGGTTAGGGTTAGGGCTGGAGCTATGGTTAGGGTTAGTTGTGGAGCTAGGGTTGGAGCTAGGGTTAGGGTTAGGGTTGGAGCTAGGGTTAGGGTTAGGGTTAGGAAAATGTGAAGATTTTCCCAAAATCTGAAGATTTTCCTAAGTGCGGACCCAATTTTTCACCTTCCAGAATTGTGTTAGGAGCACGTTTCAGGCCACGGGGAGTCCATAGAACCTGATTGTGGGTGAAGTTTTCGGGGGTTGGAGCTTTGGGGCAGGATATAGGGATATGTGCCACTTTTGACATGCCGGTTCATTGCCTTTCCCAATGATGAACCGGGCTGAGATTTGGTCTACCCCCCATTTTCGGGTATGCTGAATCTAGAAATAGTAATGAACCAGCGATCGGACATTCCTATCAAAAGTTATGGCGAAGTGAAAATTTCCCATTGAAGATGAATGGGAGCGGAAAAATGGCCAAAGTCAGTGTTTGCAAGTGTTCTACTTGTCTGGAAATGTTGAAAATGCATTGTGAGCACGTTTCAGGCCATTTCCTGTCATTTGAGGGCGACTTTGCAAAAAGGGGTGTCCTACCGCTTTTGACCAGAGGTGGCGCTGCACATGTCCGACGGTTAGGGTTAGGGTGAGACTTTGGGCAAGGGGTTAGGGTTAGGGCTGGAGCTATGGTTAGGGTTAGTTGTGGAGCTAGGGTTGGAGCTAGGGTTAGGGTTAGGGTTAGGGTTAGGGTTAGGGTTAGGGTTAGGGTTAGGGTTAGGGTTAGGGTTAGGGTTAGGGTTAGGGTTAGGGTTAGGGTTAGGGTTAGGGTTAGGGTTAGGGTTAGGGTTAGGGTTAGGGTTAGGGTTAGGGTTAGGGTTAGGGTTAGGGTTAGGGTTAGGGTTAGGGTTAGGGTTAGGGTTAGGGTTAGGGTTAGGGTTAGGGTTAGGGTTAGGGTTAGGGTTAGGGTTAGGGTTAGGGTTAGGGTTAGAAATAGGGTTAGGGTTAGGGTTAGGGTTAGGGTTAGGGAGGTTTAGGGTTAGGGTTAGGGTTAGGGTTAGGGTTAGGGTTAGGGTTGAGGTTAGGGTAGGTTTAGGATCTGATTAGGGTTAGGGTTGGGGTTCTAGTTGAGGTTGGGTTAGGGTTAGGGTTAGGGTTAGGGTTAGGGTTAGGGTTAGGGTTAGGGTTAGGGTTAGGGTTAGGGTTAGGGTTAGGGTTAGGGTTGGGTTAGGGTTAGGGTTAGGGTTAGGGTTAGGGTTAGGGTTAGGGTTAGGGTTAGGGTTAGGGTTAGGGGTTAGGGTTAGGGTTAGGGTTAGGGTTAGGGTTAGGGTTAGGGTTAGGGTTAGGGTTAGGGTTAGGGTTAGGGTTAGGGTTAGGGTTAGGGTTAGGGTTAGGGTTAGGGTTAGGGTTAGGGTTAGGGTTAGGGTTAGGGTTAGGGTTAGGGTTAGGGTTAGGGTTAGGGTTAGGGTTAGGGTTAGGGTTAGGGTTAGGGTTAGGGTTAGGGTTAGGGTTAGGGTTAGGGTTAGGGTTAGGGTTAGGGTTGGGTTAGGGTTAGGGTTAGGGTTAGGGTTAGGGTTAGGGTTAGGGTTAGGGTTAGGGGTTAGGGTTAGGGTTAGGGTTAGGGTTAGGGTTAGGGTTAGGGTTAGGGTTAGGGTTAGGGTTAGGGTTAGGGTTAGGGTTAGGGTTAGGGTTAGGGTTAGGGTTAGGGTTAGGGTTAGGGTTAGGGTTAGGGTTAGGGTTAGGGTTAGGGTTAGGGTTAGGGTTAGGGTTAGGGTTAGGGTTAGGGTTAGGGTTAGGGTTAGGGTTAGGGTTAGGGTTAGGGTTAGGGTTAGGGTTAGGGTTAGGGTTAGGGTTAGGGTTAGGGTTAGGGTTAGGGTTAGGGTTAGGGTTAGGGTTAGGGTTAGGGTTAGGGTTAGGGTTAGGGTTAGGGTTAGGGTTAGGGTTAGGGTTAGGGTTAGGGTTAGGGTTAGGGTTAGGGTTAGGGTTAGGGTTAGGGTTAGGGTTAGGGTTAGGGTTAGGGTTAGGGTTAGGGTTAGGGTTAGGGTTAGGGTTAGGGTTAGGGTTAGGGTTAGGGTTAGGGTTAGGGTTAGGGTTAGGGTTAGGGTTAGGGTTAGGGTTAGGGTTAGGGTTAGGGTTAGGGTTAGGGTTAGGGTTAGGGTTAGGGTTAGGGTTAGGGTTAGGGTTAGGGTTAGGGTTAGGGTTAGGGTTAGGGTTAGGGTTAGGGTTAGGGTTAGGGTTAGGGTTAGGGTTAGGGTTAGGGTTAGGGTTAGGGTTAGGGTTAGGGTTAGGGTTAGGGTTAGGGTTAGGGTTAGGGTTAGGGTTAGGGTTAGGGTTAGGGTTAGGGTTAGGGTTAGGGTTAGGGTTAGGGTTAGGGTTAGGGTTAGGGTTAGGGTTAGGGTTAGGGTTAGGGTTAGGGTTAGGGTTAGGGTTAGGGTTAGGGTTAGGGTTAGGGTTAGGGTTAGGGTTAGGGTTAGGGTTAGGGTTAGGGTTAGGGTTAGGGTTAGGGTTAGGGTTAGGGTTAGGGTTAGGGTTAGGGTTAGGGTTAGGGTTAGGGTTAGGGTTAGGGTTAGGGTTAGGGTTAGGGTTAGGGTTAGGGTTAGGGTTAGGGTTAGGGTTAGGGTTAGGGTTAGGGTTAGGGTTAGGGTTAGGGTTAGGGTTAGGGTTAGGGTTAGGGTTAGGGTTAGGGTTAGGGTTAGGGTTAGGGTTAGGGTTAGGGTTAGGGTTAGGGTTAGGGTTAGGGTTAGGGTTAGGGTTAGGGTTAGGGTTAGGGTTAGGGTTAGGGTTAGGGTTAGGGTTAGGGTTAGGGTTAGGGTTAGGGTTAGGGTTAGGGTTAGGGTTAGGGTTAGGGTTAGGTTAGGGTTAGGGTTAGGGTTAGGGTTAGGGTTAGGGTTAGGGTTAGGGTTAGGGTTAGGGTTAGGGTTAGGGTTAGGGTTAGGGTTAGGGTTAGGGTTAGGGTTAGGGTTAGGGTTAGGGTTAGGGTTAGGGTTAGGGTTAGGGTTAGGGTTAGGGTTAGGGTTAGGGTTAGGGTTAGGGTTAGGGTTAGGGTTAGGGTTAGGGTTAGGGTTAGGGTTAGGGTTAGGGTTAGGGTTAGGGTTAGGGTTAGGGTTAGGGTTAGGGTTAGGGTTAGGGTTAGGGTTAGGGTTAGGGTTAGGGTTAGGGTTAGGGTTAGGGTTAGGGTTAGGGTTAGGGTTAGGGTTAGGGTTAGGGTTAGGGTTAGGGTTAGGGTTAGGGTTAGGGTTAGGGTTAGGGTTAGGGTTAGGGTTAGGGTTAGGGTTAGGGTTAGGGTTAGGGTTAGGGTTAGGGTTAGGGTTAGGGTTAGGGTTAGGGTTAGGGTTAGGGTTAGGGTTAGGGTTAGGGTTAGGGTTAGGGTTAGGGTTAGGGTTAGGGTTAGGGTTAGGGTTAGGGTTAGGGTTAGGGTTAGGGTTAGGGTTAGGGTTAGGGTTAGGGTTAGGGTTAGGGTTAGGGTTAGGGTTAGGGTTAGGGTTAGGGTTAGGGTTAGGGTTAGGGTTAGGGTTAGGGTTAGGGTTAGGGTTAGGGTTAGGGTTAGGGTTAGGGTTAGGGTTAGGGTTAGGGTTAGGGTTAGGGTTAGGGTTAGGGTTAGGGTTAGGGTTAGGGTTAGGGTTAGGGTTAGGGTTAGGGTTAGGGTTAGGGTTAGGGTTAGGGTTAGGGTTAGGGTTAGGGTTAGGGTTAGGGTTAGGGTTAGGGTTAGGGTTAGGGTTAGGGTTAGGGTTAGGGTTAGGGTTAGGGTTAGGGTTAGGGTTAGGGTTAGGGTTAGGGTTAGGGTTAGGGTTAGGGTTAGGGTTAGGGTTAGGGTTAGGGTTAGGGTTAGGGTTAGGGTTAGGGTTAGGGTTAGGGTTAGGGTTAGGGTTAGGGTTAGGGTTAGGGTTAGGGTTAGGGTTAGGGTTAGGGTTAGGGTTAGGGTTAGGGTTAGGGTTAGGGTTAGGGTTAGGGTTAGGGTTAGGGTTAGGGTTAGGGTTAGGGTTAGGGTTAGGGTTAGGGTTAGGGTTAGGGTTAGGGTTAGGGTTAGGGTTAGGGTTAGGGTTAGGGTTAGGGTTAGGGTTAGGGTTAGGGTTAGGGTTAGGGTTAGGGTTAGGGTTAGGGTTAGGGTTAGGGTTAGGGTTAGGGTTAGGGTTAGGGTTAGGGTTAGGGTTAGGGTTAGGGTTAGGGTTAGGGTTAGGGTTAGGGTTAGGGTTAGGGTTAGGGTTAGGGTTAGGGTTAGGGTTAGGGTTAGGGTTAGGGTTAGGGTTAGGGTTAGGGTTAGGGTTAGGGTTAGGGTTAGGGTTAGGGTTAGGGTTAGGGTTAGGGTTAGGGTTAGGGTTAGGGTTAGGGTTAGGGTTAGGGTTAGGGTTAGGGTTAGGGTTAGGGTTAGGGTTAGGGTTAGGGTTAGGGTTAGGGTTAGGGTTAGGGTTAGGGTTAGGGTTAGGGTTAGGGTTAGGGTTAGGGTTAGGGTTAGGGTTAGGGTTAGGGTTAGGGTTAGGGTTAGGGTTAGGGTTAGGGTTAGGGTTAGGGTTAGGGTTAGGGTTAGGGTTAGGGTTAGGGTTAGGGTTAGGGTTAGGGTTAGGGTTAGGGTTAGGGTTAGGGTTAGGGTTAGGGTTAGGGTTAGGGTTAGGGTTAGGGTTAGGGTTAGGGTTAGGGTTAGGGTTAGGGTTAGGGTTAGGGTTAGGGTTAGGGTTAGGGTTAGGGTTAGGGTTAGGGTTAGGGTTAGGGTTAGGGTTAGGGTTAGGGTTAGGGTTAGGGTTAGGGTTAGGGTTAGGGTTAGGGTTAGGGTTAGGGTTAGGGTTAGGGTTAGGGTTAGGGTTAGGGTTAGGGTTAGGGTTAGGGTTAGGGTTAGGGTTAGGGTTAGGGTTAGGGTTAGGGTTAGGGTTAGGGTTAGGGTTAGGGTTAGGGTTAGGGTTAGGGTTAGGGTTAGGGTTAGGGTTAGGGTTAGGGTTAGGGTTAGGGTTAGGGTTAGGGTTAGGGTTAGGGTTAGGGTTAGGGTTAGGGTTAGGGTTAGGGTTAGGGTTAGGGTTAGGGTTAGGGTTAGGGTTAGGGTTAAGGGTTAGGGTTAGGGTTAGGGTTAGGGTTAGGGTTAGGGTTAGGGTTAGGGTTAGGGTTAGGGTTAGGGTTAGGGTTAGGGTTAGGGTTAGGGTTAGGGTTAGGGTTAGGGTTAGGGTTAGGGTTAGGGTTAGGGTTAGGGTTAGGGTTAGGGTTAGGGTTAGGGTTAGGGTTAGGGTTAGGGTTAGGGTTAGGGTTAGGGTTAGGGTTAGGGTTAGGGTTAGGGTTAGGGTTAGGGTTAGGGTTAGGGTTAGGGTTAGGGTTAGGGTTAGGGTTAGGGTTAGGGTTAGGGTTAGGGTTAGGGTTAGGGTTAGGGTTAGGGTTAGGGTTAGGGTTAGGGTTAGGGTTAGGGTTAGGGTTAGGGTTAGGGTTAGGGTTTAGGGTTAGGGTTAGGGTTAGGGTTAGGGTTAGGGTTAGGGTTAGGGTTAGGGTTAGGGTTAGGGTTAGGGTTAGGGTTAGGGTTAGGGTTAGGGTTAGGGTTAGGGTTAGGGTTAGGGTTAGGGTTAGGGTTAGGGTTAGGGTTAGGGTTAGGGTTAGGGTTAGGGTTAGGGTTAGGGTTAGGGTTAGGGTTAGGGTTAGGGTTAGGGTTAGGGTTAGGGTTAGGGTTAGGGTTAGGGTTAGGGTTAGGGTTAGGGTTAGGGTTAGGGTTAGGGTTAGGGTTAGGGTTAGGGTTAGGGTTAGGGTTAGGGTTAGGGTTAGGGTTAGGGTTAGGGTTAGGGTTAGGGTTAGGGTTAGGGTTAGGGTTAGGGTTAGGGTTAGGGTTAGGGTTAGGGTTAGGGTTAGGGTTAGGGTTAGGGTTAGGGTTAGGGTTAGGGTTAGGGTTAGGGTTAGGGTTAGGGTTAGGGTTAGGGTTAGGGTTAGGGTTAGGGTTAGGGTTAGGGTTAGGGTTAGGGTTAGGGTTAGGGTTAGGGTTAGGGTT